CCATATTCCTTAGATGTTTATGTATTGTTTTATGAGAGACATACAATTTCAGGGCCATTTCAGGAGTGTGTTGCATTGGGTTAGACTCAACAACCATCTTCAGAGCATCAATATGAATTGCAACATGTCGGCCCCTGCTATCACAGTTTTTAAGGCTAAAGTCACCTGAACAAAATTTGCTGGACCATCGTTGACACTTACAAACGTTCAAAACATTTCCATAAACTTCTTTGATATTCTTTGTGGCTACAGAGGTGTTGTTTCCCTTCTTGTATTCAAACAGCATTACATGCCAAATGTGTGTATCGTCGTGTGCCATTACTATAAGGGATTAGAGTATACTAAACTTTACTCATTATATAGGTTACACTAACGTGACGTCTAGGTGGTTCGTTTAACTATTATACATGATGTAAGTTTTTTGGGGATGGTTAATGAAAGTGTTCCAAAACGTGACATTAATTTCTTGACGACCTAATAACTTGAAAGAAGTATATTCAATAAGATGAGATCTAGGGTTGGGTGTAATGTTAATATAAAACAGCATCAGATCACTGCAAGGTGTGCATTAAATTAGATATTTATACATAGCATTGTAAAAACAAGTTTGAAAGAGTTTAGAGTTTTAGAATATGCATGTTTATTCAGAGGGAATTATGTACAGTTTTCATTACCATAATTATACACACGTTGGTGTAATTTATTTTTTTTATAATTAAATGATAATTAAAAGAATATATATAGACATTTATAATGATGGCTGGAGACGGCTTGAATGGGTAATGTATTATCCAAAACATGCAGAAAAAACTCCTAAAAGCAACCCTAAGTTCCAAATATCAAGAACTGGACTACTTACAAAAACTCAAACAGAAATTAGACCACCAACTAGCCTGCTACCTCAAACCAGATGGCAATATACTTTTTTTAGAAAATATTTACTTCATTACCCATTCAAGCCGTCTCCAGCCATTATTAGTCTCAAAGTGGGTGCCTTGTCAATGAAAATGAAAATATATAGACATTTCTTGACCCCTTCTGATATAAACTACCCCCCCCCCCCCAAAAAAAAATCCTATAAATGCTAGTGATGAGTGGTACTATCTTTAATAAAGGTGAACGTTAAGTTGTCATTGAATTTCTTAGCCATATTTATAAATGATTTTTTTAGTAATATACATGAAGTTGTATAAGAGAAAAAAAATAGGTAAAAATTGCTTAGTTAATAACCAAAAGAGTAAATAACTGTACATTGTTTTACCAATTTTTGAATACCACAACTGTACTGAAAATATGTTTCTTTTACTAAAATAAGTTATTATAGTAACTTTAAAATTCATTTAATTCACAGCTGATAAACTTATTTTCTAAGTTTTTGAAACTGGAAGAAGTAAGAACATGATTTCTTTTAATGAATGTATAGCATTTTCCCTTACTCAAAGAGTTATATTAAATCAGTTATTTGTAAATTCTTTATAACAGTGATTTCAAATTTTTTTTCACTCTATGCGTAGGAAGAATCTTTTTAAAAAGCTTGTGAACTGTTAGGAATATATAAGCACTTTGTTCCTGTAGGCCAAAACTACAGTATATGACCTATAGATATGAAGTGCACAGAATATGAATAGTCATACATAGAGTTTAGAATTTCAGAATATGCACATTTATTCAGAAGGAATTAAATACAGTTTTAATTACCATAATTATATATACACATTGATGAGACTAACTGGATAATTCTGTAGATCAACTGTTGGGAACCACTGGTTTTTAAAATAGTATTTTGTAAGAAGTGTTAATTTTAAAGGAAATAATTGTCTACAAACAAATGTTTATTATTTTAGTAATGTTTCAGGAATTTTTGTAGTTTCCAACAGTTGTAGGATAACTGCCATTAATGGCTGTGAATGTAATAAAATACTTAATTGTATAGACCTATTAAAACATCATGAAGAAACAATATAGCCCAGATTTTCATTGGTAAAACCATTTTTAACTAGATTTTGAAATAGAAGCAACTATTTCTTAAGCATGAATCTGAATTCCTGAAAATATTTGGGATTGTAAACAATTGGGAATTATAAATGCATTTTTATTATCAAAAAGTTTTATACGGTTATTTTCTTTTAGATATTTGTCAATGGACAGCACTTCACATATTTTCGTCACAGACTTCCCTTTCAACGAGTAACACATCTTACAATAGATGGTGATGTCACTATTACTCTGATTAGGTTTGAAGGTGCACAATCTTTAGTAAGTGTTATTCTGATATTCTAAAATAAATTAAGGTTACACAATTATTTTCTCTGTCACCATGTTACAGAATACTGGATTAAATTACGGTCTAAAAGTATGACAAATGTCTTTGATAAAGGTAACATAAGGATTTATTTCTCTTTCATAGCAATTAAGTTATGAAAAGATTGTTGCTCTATTCAATATAAAAACGTGTATGGTATTGTTGGCATAAAATTCCTTAAATCAATAGATGAAGTATCTGAGGCCTAACCTGATGTCAGTGTTTACAGTCAAAGGTAAGACTATTTATGAACAGTTTCATGAATTTGTCCCCCACTTGAGTTATGCTATAAGTGGCAAATAATACTAAGCATCACCACAGGCATCACAGAGAGCTACCTAACAGTAAATCAAAGTAGTGTAAAGGGATAAGTTAAATATCTGATCATCAGTCATAAGAATATCTTGTGAAAAAACCACTTGGATGTGTGTCACTTATATATTGCAACATTAAAGTGAAGTGAAAGTGGTATCAGCCAGTGGTAAGAATTTCTTATTAAACCATCACCATCATGCTGGATATATTACAACACTTGTATGGTGGTATTATTAGTCAGAGATGGTTCAAAGGTCAATAAAAAAATTAATAAATATAAATAAATGTATACTGTTATGAGATTTAAGCTATTTAGAATAAACATTTGTGGTTTCCTGTTACAATTTGCAGTTATTTTAGAATGAAAAAAAGGTAATTTTAGATATATTTCCTAATTCATTGTGGTGGTTATGAGGTCAGTCAAATCAACCAACTCTGTATAGAGTAAAGGTAGAGAAAATAACAGATAAAATATCTAGTTTTTCTAAAAAGAACATTTGATAGTTATTTAAGAGGTTATAGAGAGTATGCAACTGAAATTGCAAATTTTTTTGAAGAAGAAAAGTTTTCTTAATTTTAAAATCAAAATTACTTTCCATGTTGGATAATCAACATTCCAAAAGAAATATTTCACAAACAAATCTTTAATTAAAAAACCTGATATTTTGTGTACGAAAGCCTTGCAATGTTTACCGATAATCTGCAAACTTTTGTGACCATATGCATACATTATCAAAACTTGTAACATGACTATTCTTATGGTTACTTTAGTGGTTACAGGCTGGGTACTGTAGTCAAAGAATTAAACCATAACCATCATGCTGAACGTGTGTCACTTGATATCACAACACTAGAAAGGTAGTATCAACCAGTGGTACAAATTCCATATTTAACCATTACCATTATGTTGCACATGTGCACTTGTGTATGACAACAGTATAACAAAGCTTGAATGGTAGTATCAACCAATAGTAAGAATTCCTTATTAAACTTTCACCAAAATGCTGGACATGTGCTGCTTGTTTATCACAACAATATAGTGAAGCTTGAAAGGTAATATTAACCAGTGGTAAAATTCCTTATTAAACCATCATCATCATTATGCTGAACATGTGTCACTTATACATCACAAAAGTATAGAGTAGTAAGAATTCCTTATTAAACTATTATTATCATGCTGGACAATGTGTCACTTGTGTGTCACAACAGTATAGTGAAGCTTGAAAAGTAGTATCAGCCAGTGGTAAGAATTCCTTATTAAACTATTACTATCATGTTGGACATGTGTCACCTGTGTATCACAACACTTGAAAGGTAGTATCAGCCAGTGATAAGGATTAAACAAAGTGCTATTTTAAAGCCAAAATAAAAAAGGAAAAGAAGAAACAAAACTACTGTAATCTTTTTTGTTTACATACCTTCCTCATTATGTATGAAATATGCATACATATCACTTTTATCCTGAATTAAAAATATGTTTTGCTTTATCCTAAATATTAATCATATTCAGAAAGTGACATTCACCAGATTTGCCTACTTTTGATTCTAGAGCCAAATAAAGCCAGAAAATTTTAATATTTTACATACCACCAATCTTTGTATTGATATTTTAAAAAATTGATCTTGTATTTTTTTTTATAGTGATGTAAATGTAAAGTCGAAAGTTCAGTGTACAAACTTTGCCTAAGTGTGATTATCATATACGTGTAAGATAGGCCCTAAAATGGCTTTCAAAGTAAAGTGTATGTTGCCACTAATTGGAGCAATTGCAAAATAAATAAGCATTCCAAGTGCAGCAACAGATGCTACTGAGGACTTTCAACATGATAACCTCATCATCGTGACCATCAGATCCTTACTTTATCTCTTGCAAATTGTATGAGGTATATTAATTCTACCACTAATAGCAAGAAACAGTTAATTCAGTCTGTGTCTACTTATCTGAACCAGTTAACCCTTTCATAACCGGCTTGCGTAATTTATGGAACACAGTATCAGGAATTTCACTTGTGCAATGATACAAACTGTAACATTGAAATTTCTTAACGTATCATCTCAAAACTGGTAAGATTTTGTTAAAGATCATGGGTATATTGGATATAAAGAATGACATTATTTTAATAATGTTTTTTTTACTAAAAATATGTTATTTATCTGATGTTGTTACTTGCACTCAAACTCTTATAAATTGAGTGCAAGGTGATTTTCATTTTAAGTATAAAAATACTTTTCTTCATCCTATAGTTTACATATTTCATTTGCATAATCTCTAGAACCTCCTCAATGAATATCAAAGGTTTTTTTAAGGTAAATGTTTATATTTTGTTTTTCATTTTTTTACCATATCACTATATTTTATAGTGGAATTCTGTAGTATCAATGTACAATGCAAGGAAATGATTAAAATTAGGAAATAAAAAAATACATACCTTTTAATTTTTTGTAAGATATCTTTAAAAATCTTTTCTTTTGGTTACATTCATAATTTTAGGTCTTTTCCTTTTCACATATAGTTCATTTTTAATGTTTTATTTTCTTGTCCTTTATTGTTTATTATTCATATCAACATAAGTCATCGGTGCCCTTGGAGCATATTACAGTGTCTCTGGCAGTGATGTGCAACCCTTTGGCAAAATTTTCATGCACCATGTAACATTGTAAGCTTTGAGAACTGACACAAAATATGATGTAAAATTAAAAAAGGCTTCAACTTTTCAATTATGCATTTTAAGACATAGATAATTTATAATTAACTAAAATATAAAAGTAAAACCAAAATACAATTTAACTGTATTTTCAAAATTTTATTTTGTCACTTTGCCACTATAAAAACATAAAGTACCAGGTTGGAAAGAGTTAAAGGTAACTTTCCAATCCCACTTAATCTACTTGATAATGTGTGTAATATTAACAGTATCCTGATCTGCAAATTACATCCCTTTAACCCTTTCAAGACGGGTCACGGGTGAAAGGTCATGTTATCTCGTTTGTTGACTCGCACTCTAAATTTTATTGAACTGCTATTTCATTAATTTATGTCAATAATTTTGGTATCAAACTATATATATTATAATTCAAATTATAGTACTGTATATTACTCAATTTCTTAATTTAAAAGCAAATATTAAAAAATAAACAGATAAACATCGATTTTTGTGTGACATGTTTTATGTTGAATGCAACACTGATTCAAATTAGATGTTTGTAAAGTCAAAATACTAAGTCTATAGTTTCGAAGAAATTAGAAACTCAAATTACCGATATTGACAAGCTAGAATATAAAATAGGAACCGCTTTTCAATTTGCAAAGATACTGCTCATGTAATAAATCAAACATGAATACCAATCGGAAGCTAAAAATGTAATCCTAGTGGCTCTCTCAGCCATCTTAACAGTCTTGTTGCCATTTCTTTCTTTTGAACCAATATTTCAAGGTAGGGTGTGTTTTTCATCTGCTCGAAATTTCCTGTTTTTTTAGACTAAAATACATCTTAGTTACTAAGTTTGATAAATTATAGTGGAATTCTGTAGTATCAATGTAGTAATTTATGATTTTTTAGTGGTTCAAGTGCATATATATATATGTATAAAACCTAAAAAAAATATTTTGTTTCATATCCTCCATGTGCAAATTTTTTAAAATCTTAGCAGCCTATGTCAAGCAGCAACCAAGTACAAAGGTTGTAACTAGAAGAGATAATTGTTTACTTTACTTCTTTATTTACTGTTCTATGTTTTAAGAAAAATAAGTTTGAGAAGGTACTTGTAAATAGTAATAATCTATATACATATATAATGTATAATAATTGAATTGTGACTGTATTTTACAAAATATTAGTCGACTAAAACACATCCAAGACAAGTTAATTTGTACAGACCAAAAGTCGGTTTTATGTTATTGGATACGATAACATGAGTGCAGGTGTGCTGCTTCATTTTAACTTCTGTATTGTTAGCCAGGCACGAGTGAAAGGTCAGTGTAATATAAATAATAAATACATATAAATGTATAATGTCATGAGATTTAAGCTATTTAGTCAAAACATTTATGTTTTTATGTTATAATTTGTGTTCATTCTAGAATTAAAGAGGCATAATTTATATTTATTTCCTAATATTTTATGGTGGTTGCGAGATCAGTCAAACCTACTGAATCCGTACAGAGATTAATTACTGAAAATAACAGATAAAATATAAGGTTTTTTTTCTTGATAAACATTTGATAACTATCTGGACATTATAAATATTTTGCATGTGAAATTTGAAATTTTTTGAAATATAAAAGCATTTTTAATCTTAAAATGAATATTACTTTGCATGTTAGATAGGCAACATGCAAAAAAGAAAAAAGGCACGAGAAAAACATTGCTTTACAAACCTTAAGATTTGATAAAAAAATTTTATATTTTGCATATGAAAGCATTGCAATGTTTACTAATAACCTGTCAGATTTCCTTAACATTCACTTACTAATCTAAAAGTTATAGCATGAAAACTATAACAATCACAAAATGGTTACAAGGTCAGTCCCAGGGACCAAGCCCTTTGCTGAAAGAGTTAAAGGTCTAGTTAAACAATAATGATTGCAATATAACGTCTTGGGTTGATCTAACTCACAAAAACATGTTAAATCCACCAAAGTTCTTCACCTCAAACAGTAAGCAATATTAGTTGTATTTAGAATATCCACATACATTTTATCCTAAGGCCCCAATAAATGTTAGTTCTCTTTAGAATATCTGCATACATTTTATCACACTTGATTCCTAATAAATGTCGGTTTTCTCTAGATGCTGCATAAATTTTATCATTTCAACCTTAATAAATGTCAGTTCTCTTTAGACTATCTGCATACATTTTACCATGTGATCCCTAATAAATGTCATTTATCTTTAGACTATCTGCATACATTTTACCATTTGACCCCAAATAAATGTCAGTTCTCTTTAGACTATCTGCATACATTTTATCATTTCACCCTTAATAAATATCAGTTATCTTTAGACTATCTGCGTACATTTTACCATGTGATCCCTAATAAATGTCAGTTATCTTTAGACTATCTGCGTACATTTTACCATGTGATCCCTAATAAATGTTGGTTCTTCTTAGAGTATCTGCATACACAGGGTTCTCACTAGGTTCCCGGACTCTCAACTTTTAAACCTCCAGTGAGATTTTCAAGGTTTCCATAGTTAGAATTTAATAAACTCAGAAAAAAAGGAAAAAGATACCTCAGTGTTCAATGAAAAACTTCATTTATAATTTAAACAACATTTTGTTTCCCTTTATGAGTGTAAAGTAATTTTCATGATAAGATTAAAAATACTTTTCTTCATTTGAAAATTTTCAAATATGGTTTGCATAACTACTAAAATATCCTAAATAAATATCAAAAAATTTTATATTTTATCTGTTATTTTTTTTACACTAACTCTATATGAGGTCGATTGAATTGACCTACCTTGTAACTATCATAAAAAATTAGGAGATAATTATAAATTTCCCCTATTTTCTTTCTGGAATGACTGCAGATTGTAACTAAAAACCATAAATGTTTTTACTAAGTAGCTTAAACTTGTAACTGTATACATCTATTTAAAGTTAAATTTTATTGTTTTATTCCCTATTAACTACTATTCCTGCCATATAAATTACAAATCACATGGCGGACGTGCAGCTCACATTACGTTTTCATCAAATTGCATAATGCACAGACTATTCATGAGTATACCTCATAAGAAAATTATTATTATTCATTTTACCTTATCTAACCTAAAACGTTTTCAATTTTTACATTTTAGTTACTTTTATAATAATAAATAAAGAATACACATTAAAATCAAGAAATAAAGTACATTCCTGATTTATTTTTTATACAAGTTGTACTACTGCATTAAATAATTTCTATTTAATTAGATAATGCACCAAAGAACACAGAATTATAACATGAAAATAGAAACAATGTTCCATAACTATCACAATTTTTTGGCCTTCTAACTGTGCAACAAAAGCCATTAAAAATTCAGTTAAGTTGTTGATGTGTTTCCTGTGGGAATAAAGTTTGAACTAGAAGTGAAAAAGACAATTCTCTGTGGAAAAAAACAACGTAATAGAATACGTCATTTGATAAAGAAAAACATTGGCTCTCTATTGGTTACAAGTAATATAGTTTGAAATGTCAGAGAGAACTACTGGCAAGTTTTGAAAGAGAGGAGGTGACAGGTGGATGTGGAAAAAGGGGTCTGATTTTCTATCTTATTGCTCTGGAACCAATTAAGATTAAAGACTGTAAATTATGCTTTGCATGAGTGATGAAACATTATAACAAGTAATTTACATTAAGTTTCATACTTCTTGGAAATGTGGTAAAAAAATTAGAGAAGATGTAAGAAGACATAGATAACAAATGTCACGGTTCTTGTACTAGGGGAGATTTTTTTTTTTACAACCTCCTTATAAAATTAAGAAACTATAACTTAAATAGTATTAAACTTTGATTTATTATCTATGTTCTGATGCTGAGTTTACTCAGATACATTGATAATAAAGTAGTTTAATTAAATTATGAATGTAACTCTGTGATAAGTACTGACATTCACAGTTTGACCTACCCAAGGTGAATGGGTTAATTGTATGGTATTTTCTCGTGGCTTTATTTTTGTGCAATATTATTACTGTTGAAACCTACTAGAAGTTGGCTGAGGGCAGCTGTGTGCAAACTGTATGCTGTTTAGTGTGTTATGGTACAAAGTTCGAAGCAAAGTATACTTGTGTTTGCTTTGCATATGGGGCATTTTTCGGTGCATATTCTGTACCTGCGGGATCAAATCTCGTGCTTTACAACAAATTCTTGACATACGCGACCAGGGGGTTCAAGTTATCTGGAACGCTGATACATTTTATTATTTCTTCCCTGAAAAATATCAGTTCTCATATATCTGCATATATTTTATTATTTGGTGCCAAATAAATCTCAGTTCTCTATAGAATATCTGTATACATGTTATCATTCAGCCTCTAATGAATGTCAGTTCGCTTTTGACTATCTGCATACGTTTTACTATTTACCTCTAATAAATGTAAGTTCTCTTTAAAATATTTGCATACATATTATCATTTGCCTCCTAATAAATGTGTGTTCTTTCTAGAATATCTGCATGTCTTATCATTTGGCCCCTGATAGATTATCAATTATCAGGAATTTTAATAAGTACCAGTGATAAATAACTTGCTCACGACAGGAATTTTTAACATTTTTACTCGTAATAAAATTCTAAAATATTTACCTTTTCCTTGCAACATTATGTAATAGTTTAAAACTTCCAAAAGGAGTTGTGAAAAAGTATGTTGTACTAATATGAACAATTAAGGTAATATTTTATAATATTTGAAATTCAAAATTTTGCAAGACTTATGATTCATATGATGAATAATAGTTAGTAGGCCAACAGATTCTTAGTTTTTAAAAGTGATGTAATTTACTTAATGTGACAGAACTTATCACCATTAAAGTATTCTGTATCACAAGAACTCATTGCATAGTTGGTGTTGACTTATCTTAATAGTTAGAATGCCAGACATAGAGTAGTAGTTGATATGCCTAGCACGACCTACTAGTTACCATGCCTGATATAACCCAGTGTGATTCACTTGTTCATTCTCATTCTAAGGATTTGTTTCTCATGTTGGATTCTACTCTGACTCTCCTAGGCTACATTTTTTTTTGTAGTCAAGATAGCTTATCTTCTTCTCCTGTAGTTGCAATTCGTTAGTTCCCACCTCTTTTACGATGTGGGTGTGCTGGCTTTTAGTATTTCAGAGGTAAGTCTGTCTGATTTTAATTTTACACTTTTAGAATTAAAATTAATTTCAAACAAGTACCTATTTCTGAAATAATTTCCTTCCCACCTCCCAACACCTGCATTTTCATCACAACTACAACTATTCACAAATCTACTTACTGTAGTTAGCAGAGCTTATGTAATAATGGCTGGAGATGGCTTGAATGGGTAATGAAGAAAAACTTTAATATAACAGCAAA